CTTCACAATTTTCACTCAAAAATGCATTTTTGTTCTCTTTATTAATTAAACTTCGTTTTGAAGAATTATTACTATTTTGTGAACTAGTAGAAGGTTGTAAATTATTTATTGGAGATAAATCATTTGAATAAAGAAAATCATCTTCTGCTCCAAAATATAAAGGTGGGGGAGGAGAAATATTGTTAAAAGAATTGTTATTTAAATGTTGTGGAGTAGTTGGTGTTTTTTGATTTATTGAAAAGTTGAAAATGTCAGAATTTTGTTTTGTGTTAAAAGTTGAAGGAATCTAATTTAGAAAAATAAAGTTTATTAAAAGAAAAATATCATAGCTTCTTTTTGAAGCTTTAAAAATAAATTTACCCCCCTCCACAAGAAGACCATGCAACTAGAAATCTATCATTGACAACCTAACACATAAACGATGAATATTCTATTTTTTAATACAAAAGAGCTGTACATGCTAACCCCTCCTTTGTTCAAATTTATCAACCGGACCACAAACGCCTGTTCATCCTAATAAAATCAATTTAAAAATTAAAACCTCCTCAATATGAACTTGTTGTTTGTCTGTTAAAGCAATTTCATTTTCGCCTCCACTGTCGTCTGATAAAAAAATTATTCCAGAAGTGTTATTCATTGACTATAAATGTTAATTTTAGAAAAAAGCAAAAGAATTTTGAAGTTTAAAAATAAAAAAAATTTTTTTGAAAATTAAACAAACTAATGAAATTTAATTTTAAAAATTTATTTTATACTGCAAAATATACATTTCTACTTTACACTAGAAAATTTGAAAATCAAAATAAAGTTTGATATTCACGACAAAAGAATTAAAAAGATAAATAAAGATATGGAATTATTGAGCAATAAAAACCGACGAAAATAAAATGTTAAATTGTATACGAGCTACAGGAAATCTTCATTTATACAGCTAAACGATTTAAATGTGAATCACTCTGAGCCTAACACAAACCCTGAAATAATAATCTTTAAGAAAATCAAAATTAATGATTAATTCTAAAAATTAATTCTCGCGTATTTTTGAGTATTAAACTACTGAACAAAAAAGTTTAAAACAGTCTAAATTTAAGTAAAAATTTAAATAAATACCTTTTCCTGGAAAGACGCGCCCAACATCACCAATAGATTTTAAAGTTTTCATTTTTGGACTTTTGACAACTTCTCCAATAATACAAATATCCTCATCATTTTCATCATCAAAAATAAAACAATTAAAATTATTATTGTTACTGGAAGAGGACGAAGGAAAATTAGTTAAATCAGTGCTGGCTTTTTCTAAAGCTTTGAAAAATAAATTTTATTCAAATTTTTAATAAAAATAAATTTTGTTTTTAATAAAATTGATGAGATAAAAAACCGCTCACGCTCAAAAATAAAATTAGGAAATAAGGGGAAGCCAAAAACTGTTATTCGAAAAATATAATGAGAAGAAATTTAAATAGAAAAAGACAGGTTAAGAAGGCAAGAAGTCATATAAGATGTCAAGAGATTAAAATAATAAAAATGTCCTAACCTTCCACAGAAAAGATTCGATCAATTCTCGGTTGATTTTGGTCACTCACTTCTTGTAACATAGGTTTTATTTTCCTTTTTCTTCCAGAAGCACCTTCCCCTGACTTTTCCTGGGATTTTTCAGGTTCCTTTACTTTGACATAATCACCTTTAAAATTGTTGTTTGATTATTTTTTTAAATTAGATTTTTAGCTAGATTTTTTAGAAACGAAAAAAAAATTTATTTTGTGGTTAAGTGGTATAATTTTTGATTTCCTCCTATAACCCTTCAAGGTTCGAATCCTTTTGCTAGAAAAGTATTTTTCTTTTTATATTTTTGCTTTTCTAAGTCGTTTTATTGCCTTTTTAATTTATCAAAAAAAATAATTTGTTTAGGATCGTAAAGGCATAATTCACTTCATTCGTTTTCCAACTGACCGCATGTTGAATTTTGTTCGTTTAGTTAAAGAAAAAGGATTTGCTCAAATGAGTAGCACAGTTTGTGCAACTGGTGGGGGTGCGGAAAAATATGCAAAAGTGGCTGAAGAGGTTTTTAAAAAAATTTTTTTATTTGTTTTTTATTTTTTATAAATTTAGGAACTTGGAATGTATTTTCACAAATCAGAAGAAATGAGGTCTTTAATTAAAGGTTTCTTTTTAATAAATTATTTGGGTTCAAATTATATTTTTAGGGATTGAATTTGTTGCTCAAAATAATTTGGACGAGTGTTATTATTATGACAATCCATTGAGCAAGGATTACAAGAAGGTTATTTGGTTAGTTTTTTTGTGAGAATTTTTTTAAAAATAGTTGGGGGATTGAGAAATTTTCTTTTGGCATTTTTTTAATTTAAAATTTCCTTATCAAGTTTAAGTAAATTTTAATATGTGTATTTATTGGTCATGTCAATTTCCTTGTTTTCAGGCGTTGGTCGAGCGCGCGTTGCTCAACTACTGACCATATTCATGAGGACAAAAAATGTCCACCTCCGGAAGGTTTTTTTTAAATATTCTTAAACCAAAAACTTAATGGGTTGTTCTAAATTTCTTTCACACCAAATAATTTTGGGTTTTTGACGGCACTTTCTTAAAATTATCAAAAAATTCTGATCGGCGTCCTTCCGAAAAATTTTTTTCCTTTGTTGTTTTTGAATTTTTAAAAATAATTATATTAGATTTTGAGAGCGGAACAGGATCGGGTGGTCCTTTTTCTCGGCTTTTTTGATGTCGGGATGAAACCATGATTGGTAATTCCCGGTTCCTGGTCCCGACCGGGTTTCTCTGCTACAATTTCCCGTTCCCGGTTTTTTAAAGATTCCGCTCTCTATATTAGATTTTGGAATCCATTTTCCGTTTAGAAAATTTTTATTTTATAGGAAAATTGCTACACAAGATCAAATAATATTAAAATATTTAAGTCAAATTTTCAGGCCTTCAATATCCCTATATTGTTTGTAATATCGGCTCAGGCGTCTCAGTTGTTCTTGTTCGTTCCCATAATGACTTTAAACGTGTAAGCGGTTCTTCAATTGGCGGCGGCTTTTTCCAAGGACTTTGTTTTTGGCTTTGTGGTTGTGAGACTTTTGAGGAAGCAATTGAATTGGCAACTAAAGGGGACAACAAAAAAGTGGATAAATTGGTTGGGGATATCTATGGAACTGATTATGATGCTGCTGGGTTGCCGAGTGATGTTATTGCTGCTAGGTTTGGAAATATTTTTTTTGCTTTTTTATTTTGTTCTAAATACAGGCCCGTAGCGCCAAAAATTTGGCGCAAAAAAATTTTCTCCTCTTAGCCCCCCCCCCGAAAAAATATGGCTACGTGCCTGTCTAGATAGAGTATTTTGTAGGGAAGAACTTTTAATTTTTTATTAGGTCTTATTTTATTTTCAATTTTTCCCTATCTTAATAAAAAAATTAACTAATGGACCTCAACTAAAAAATTATAAAAAATTTTTTAATTCTTGGTGTTCAAAAACATTTGTTTTTTCGCATTCTTTCTAAAAATTTCAGTTATTCAATTTATTCTCTCCCCAATCTATTTTAGATTTACTCCAAATTATTAATAGATAAAGCCAATATTTTTTAAGAAATTCTAACCTCCAAATTAAAAGAAATATTTAAGTTTTGGCAAAGTATTCAACAAAGAAGATGCTAAAAACATCAAAAAGGAAGATTTGGCTTCAGCGGCATTGGTAACCACAGCAAATAATATTGGTTCAATTGCGTTGAATATAGCTAATCATCATGGAATCGAAAGAATTGTTTTTGCTGGTAAAGCAGAATTTTTATTTTAATGAAATTTTTTTGAAATGTCAAAAATTTTGGAATTGAAATTTTTCCTAAAAATTTCAAAAAAAAATTTTTTCAGAAAAAAATTTTTCAAAATTTTTCTAAAAAAATTTTAGGCAATTTTCTCCGTGTCAATCCAATAGCCGCTCGTTTATTGGCCCATGCAATGAACTTTTGGTCTAAGGGAACAAAAAAAGCTTTGTTTTTAATTCATGAGGGTTATTTTGGTGCTGTTGGTTGTCTCGATAAATTAGTTGATGTAACAAATACTAGAAGGATGGAAAAGAATAGTAAAAGTACAACACCTTCACAGGGAAGTAGTTCGGCTGGGGAAGATAAAGAAGGAAGTGTTGAAGGTGGTGAAAATGTTATTGTTAAAGATGACGAGGAAATGAAAACTCCGAGAGAATGAGAGGGAGTAAATAAATAAATAATTTTAGTAAATTTAAGAAAAAAGAATACATACCTAAATTTTTATTTTTTAAAAATAAAAAAATGTTTGAGAGTAAAAAATAAAAATATAATTTTCAATTTTTGATTCACCTCGAATTAATTATTTATTAAATAAATAGTTTCTCAAACATTTTTCCAGACATTTTATATACATAATTTATTTTTATATCTTATAACCAAAGACAAATTAAAATTTTAAAAATTACTAAAAATTTTATGTTTATTTTGTATGAAGGAATTTTTATTTTCTTTAAATTATTTTTTAAAGAGAAGTCAATTTGAGATAAGTTATCTTAACGTTACTAGAGTTGGGACCCGGTCTGGTCCGAGAGATTGATTCGGGCATCGAATTTTGGCCCGAAAAAGACTTGTTCGGTCCGGTCCGATAAAAATGACTGACTCGAAACCCCAGCCCTAAATGTTGCACCTAATTCTGAGATTTTTACTTAAATGGATTTGCCCAATCCTTACTAAATTTTAAATTGTTTGGAATTCATAACAATCTCGAAATACACACATCGATTCAAATTTTTTGCGAGATCGAGACTGAGATTTTCGATAGTGTAAAAAAGTTTGTTCTCTGATTTTAAATTTAATTTTATTTGTTAAATATGAATATTAAATATTCTTTAAATTTTTTTATTCATTCCCAAACCCATAAATTTTAAATTAAATAGACAGGACAGATTAAAGCTTTAAATTTAAAAGAAAGAAAGGAAAGTTGAAACTTGTCTTCTTTTTAAATTATTTTTTTCCAGGAATACCCAAAATAGATTTACATGTATCTACTTCACAATATAATCCATAACAACATCCATCTGTTCCATATTTTCCAATATCATTTGAATTACACGGTCCTTTAGAACAATTTCCCTTAAAACATTTGTAGACACCATTTCCTGTATGTTTACAATTTAATCCATCACAACAAACTTTATCATAATTATTACACATTGTTGTATTACGCCCAATACAATTAGCGATAGTAGTTGCTTTTGTGGTGGTTTGGTGTTGGATACATTGAATGTTAATTAATTGAAATAATAAAATTGTAAAAATAATTAAGAGACAAAAATTAATTGAAGAATTAATAAACATTTTTTTTAATTGTTTAAAATTGAGGTCCAACTAAAATAAAATTGACAGAAAATAATTAAAATTGAGTGAAATAATTTATAAATTTTATTTAATAATTTATAAAATTTAATTTTGCTTTGTTGGCAAATTTATTTTAAATTTTTTGAGCCAAAAAAAATAATTTTTTCTAATTAAATTCTATATAGAAATGATTTTTTTAAAATTAAATTTCTCTTTAAAATATTAAAACTATTTTTAAAGCCTTGCTGTTTAAATATTTTAATACGTATTTTTATGTAAAATTTAGCATAAACTATAAATTTTTTTATTTGCTGGAGTTGAAGAAATTTTTTTTATTAAATTTTAAAATTGAATTTATTTAAATTGATGCTGATTGAGATCAGCATCAATTTAAATAAAATTAATTTAACTGAGTAAATAATTCTAAAAAATTTATACTGTCTGACAAAATTTCTAAAAAAAAATTTCCTTTTCATTATTTTCATTTAAAAAATTTTAAAAATTACAATAGATTTTTGCTTTAATGGAGTTACATAAGAAAAATACCCTATTCGACCTCTTTCTTGAGGAAATAGTTTATCTTACTATTCCCTCAAGTAGTTAACATGTCCTTGCTGTTTAAATATTAACGCTTTAACGAATTAAACTAAAAAATAAAATTTTTATTTAAAATTTATTTCTTATCATTTTGTCTTGTAATGTGGCACCTTTTTTTTAATTCGAGGAATAAATTTGACGTAGACAAAATTGCCATTTTAAATTTTGTATTTGAAATTAATTATAGTTTTTAATTTAAAAAGTTAATTTTTAAAATAATTCTTTGAGTTTTTAAAGTTGTTTAAACAAAAATTATTTTCCAAAATTTAAATTTTTATTAGTAAAATGCGTCAAAGCAAAATAAAATTTGCGTCATAAACAAAAGAGAATCTCTCAATTAGTACCCAAATCAATAATTTCCTCTCCCTCCATGCTTGTCAAAATTTTATAAATTCTTTGTGCCATAACTGGGCCTAATCTTCTACCACTTTCTCCTTTAATTTCTGACAATTTAAACATTGAATTGCCTGGAGAATTTGTTAAATCCATCAAATTAGACATTAATCTTTAAAATAAAAATTATTTTTTAAATTGAAATTATTTTTTTACTTTATTGGATTTGGATGTTCTTTTATAATTGCTCGACGTTGTTCTTCACTTAATCTAGGCACATGTTCCAACATTCTAGTCCACCAATCAGTCACCATACCTGGACCTTCCGATATTCCTTTAGAAACGGCAAAGTGATTTGAAGCAATTCCGACTAATTCAGCCTGAAAATTTTAATATTATGTAAATCCATCGCTAGAATTTAAATTTTTATAGACCGTTTATTAAAAAAATTTATATAAAAAATTTTTTTCTTTTTAAATTTAAAAAACTTTAATTATTTTTAATTATCTTCGAAATCTAAAATTAATTTAAAAAAAACAAAATTCACCATAGCCAGTTTATCACTTTTCTTTTCTGCCTTAGCCAAAGCTCTATGCATTTGAACAACCAAAAAGGAAAAATCCAAAACATCGGGAACCATACGAATTTGAGCACGATAACGTTCATAAGCCTCGAATATTAAAGACGAAAGCTGGAAAAAAGAGAAGTTTTTTCTTCAAAAACCCCCCAACTCACAATATTTTCTCGAATTGTATGTTTCCCCAACACAATTAATTTAAGACGAACATCTTCTTTAGTTTGCTTTTTATGTGCCACAGTTTGTTCTTTTATAAAATTAATAACACCTTCTTTTGTTTTAGCTAATACAGTGAAAGTTTCAGCACTTAATACACAACAAAACCATGATTGTAATTCCTAAAAAAGAAATAAAAATAATTTTTGGGAAGTTAGGCAGCAGGATATCACAAAAGTTATCTGAAAGCCGATCAGAGAAATTTTCGAAACTCCTATCCAAAAATCAGTGTCGAGCTAACAAACGGAACGGACAAGTCGCAAAACGACAAGTCACGGTTTTGATCATTCCGTGAGTTAGCCCCCACCCCCCGAAAATCTACGATAATTTTTTCTCAAGCCATTATATCCCTGTAGACAGACAATGTATATTTAAGTTGAAGTTACTCTAATTTTAACAAAAAAAATTTCATTAAAAATCCTCACCATATTCTCCGATTTATTCAATTTTCCTTGATCAATACAAGCTTCTATTCGCTTACGCCTCCAAGTAATTCTCATCAAATTCCCCGTACTATTTTCATAAATTAATTGATTTGGAATTCCTCTTTCATTAAATCTTGTATTTAATTCCTCACGTAAATTATCTTTTTTGTTAAAATTTATTTAAAAAAATTTTTTTAAATTTAAATTACCATTAATTGTTAATATTCTATTAGAAAAATAACAAAACAAATATTGTTCACATTTTGTATTTTTTGCAGATTGCATTTCACGTTGAACACGAATAACTTCTTTTTGAAGCTTTAAAAATAAAAATTTAAAAATAAAAAAACAGAAAATTTTTAATTTCTACCTTTTCTGCTTCAATTTCCTCTTTTGTCCTCTTCTTACGTTTTTTCGCTGCTGGTTGAGCCTCTTCTTCTTCTCCAACATTTTTTTCATTATTTACTTCACAATTTTCACTCAAAAATGCATTTTTGTTCTCTTTATTAATTAAACTTCGTTTTGAAGAATTATTACTATTTTGTGAACTAGTAGAAGGTTGTAAATTATTTATTGGAGATAAATCATTTGAATAAAGAAAATCATCTTCTGCTCCAAAATATAAAGGTGGGGGAGGAGAAATATTGTTAAAAGAATTGTTATTTAAATGTTGTGGAGTAGTTGGTGTTTTTTGATTTATTGAAAAGTTGAAAATGTCAGAATTTTGTTTTGTGTTAAAAGTTGAAGGAATCTAATTTAGAAAAATAAAGTTTATTAAAAGAAAAATATCATAGCTTCTTTTTGAAGCTTTAAAAATAAATTTACCCCCCTCCACAAGAAGACCATGCAACTAGAAATCTATCATTGACAACCTAACACATAAACGATGAATATTCTATTTTTTAATACAAAAGAGCTGTACATGCTAACCCCTCCTTTGTTCAAATTTATCAACCGGACCACAAACGCCTGTTCATCCTAATAAAATCAATTTAAAAATTAAAACCTCCTCAATATGAACTTGTTGTTTGTCTGTTAAAGCAATTTCATTTTCGCCTCCACTGTCGTCTGATAAAAAAATTATTCCAGAAGTGTTATTCATTGACTATAAATGTTAATTTTAGAAAAAAGCAAAAGAATTTTGAAGTTTAAAAATAAAAAAAATTTTTTTGAAAATTAAACAAACTAATGAAATTTAATTTTAAAAATTTATTTTATACTGCAAAATATACATTTCTACTTTACACTAGAAAATTTGAAAATCAAAATAAAGTTTGATATTCACGACAAAAGAATTAAAAAGATAAATAAAGATATGGAATTATTGAGCAATAAAAACCGACGAAAATAAAATGTTAAATTGTATACGAGCTACAGGAAATCTTCATTTATACAGCTAAACGATTTAAATGTGAATCACTCTGAGCCTAACACAAACCCTGAAATAATAATCTTTAAGAAAATCAAAATTAATGATTAATTCTAAAAATTAATTCTCGCGTATTTTTGAGTATTAAACTACTGAACAAAAAAGTTTAAAACAGTCTAAATTTAAGTAAAAATTTAAATAAATACCTTTTCCTGGAAAGACGCGCCCAACATCACCAATAGATTTTAAAGTTTTCATTTTTGGACTTTTGACAACTTCTCCAATAATACAAATATCCTCATCATTTTCATCATCAAAAATAAAACAATTAAAATTATTATTGTTACTGGAAGAGGACGAAGGAAAATTAGTTAAATCAGTGCTGGCTTTTTCTAAAGCTTTGAAAAATAAATTTTATTCAAATTTTTAATAAAAATAAATTTTGTTTTTAATAAAATTGATGAGATAAAAAACCGCTCACGCTCAAAAATAAAATTAGGAAATAAGGGGAAGCCAAAAACTGTTATTCGAAAAATATAATGAGAAGAAATTTAAATAGAAAAAGACAGGTTAAGAAGGCAAGAAGTCATATAAGATGTCAAGAGATTAAAATAATAAAAATGTCCTAACCTTCCACAGAAAAGATTCGATCAATTCTCGGTTGATTTTGGTCACTCACTTCTTGTAACATAGGTTTTATTTTCCTTTTTCTTCCAGAAGCACCTTCCCCTGACTTTTCCTGGGATTTTTCAGGTTCCTTTACTTTGACATAATCACCTTTAAAATAATTTTTTGAATTTATTTTAAAAAATAACCTCCACAGTCCATTTGATGTTGTTTCCACCAATAATCATAGGGACCAGGTTTTCGATTAACTGCTCTTTTAACCCATCCATAATAAGGAGCGCGTTCCTTACAGGGGCCAGAACATCTCCACCAGTGTTGTTTATAGTGAGTTACCTAACATCGAATATTAAGAAAATTTGAAAAATAAATGGGCTTTTGGCTTTATTAGAGGAAAAATTAGAAACATGTTTCTTCACTATGACAGTGCCAAAAATTTAAAATACAATTTTCAAAATATAAATATTATACCTCGGCATGAAACGAATGAAAAATTGTTATAGAAGTACCAGCAAGTGAATTAATTCGGTTCATATGTGATTGGAATTCAGGACCGTGTCCTGAATTTTTTGATTAGTACTATCAAAAATAAATCAAACCATCTCTGTCCATAAACATTGCACCGCCAGTAACAAATAAATAAGCGTGAATCATTTCATGCTAAGTGTAAAATTGAAAAAAAATTTAAAAGAGATAACCTACAAGCAAAGTTTCAACCAAATCCCTGCGTCTACGTAGTTTAAGTAAAGGCTCGCTTAAACGAACACAGCAAAGACCAGTCTTTCTATAAAATTGACAAACGCCTGCACAACTAGAAAAATAAATTCCTTAGAAATCCACTTATAAAAAGTGCGAGGAAATAAAATTCAGTCTGTGAAATAAAGATGTAAGACAAATTCAAGGGTTCATTCCCGTTTCTCACCTCATAATTTCAAATATATTTCTAAATTAAAACCTCGTCATCCTCTTGCTCCAAGCAACAGTACAAGCTCGCTCGTTAAGCTTTCCATAGAAAAATTGATGATCAAAAAGTATGTAAAGTTGATGGATGTCAGGATGTGGATCGTCAAGCTCAAGAGAATCATCAACTAGATTGATAAAATTTGTAGAACTCGTGCTCATGATAGGACTGAAAATTTGAATGAAGGAAAAATTAGTAAAAAATAAAATAAACATTCATAAGACATTTATCCGGAAAAATCCGGCCGGATCCGGTCTGCCGAAATTATTTTAAATAAAACACTATTTTGGCATTATGATTTATTTCAATACCAGTTGAGTCTGAAAAAATTTCGGACCGGGGGACTTTTCAGTTTCGCTCTTCCAAGTTAGGGCTATTTTTGTATACCAATATTTTTTTATTTTTTATCAGAATTTTTTGAATTTTATTAAAACATTTTTTATCTTTATTTTTAGCTTGCGTCAACATTTATTTTCAAAATCCTTAATACAAAAATTATGTCTCCTGATAAGGCATACATTTCTGGTGTAGTTGAAGGATTTTATGGACGTCCTTGGACAACGGATCAACGCAAACATTTGTTTTCATTGCTTCGTAAATTTGGAATGAACACTTATTTATATGCCCCAAAAGACGATTTGAAGCATAGAGCAGAATGGCGAATTCTTTACACGAGCGAGGAAGCAGGTTTTGAATTTTAATTTTTAATTAATTATTTTTAAAATTTAAGCTTTACTCGAATCCTTAATTCGAACAGCTAATGACAACGAAATTACTTTTGTGTATGCTCTGTCACCTGGTATCGACATTTTATATTCAAGCGTTAAAGAAATGAAAGCAATTAAAGACAAACTTAATCAGGTATTTCTTCATTTAAATTTTATTTTTTTTTCATAATTTAGGTTCGCTCTCTTGGTTGCAACGCTTTTTCTCTCCTTTTTGATGATATTGAAACTAGAATGAATGAAGCGGATAGAAGAAAGTTTACTTCTTTTGCCCATGCACAATTAACTGTAGCTAATGAAATATATGAGCATATGGGATGTCCTTTATTCTTTTTCTGTCCAACAGGTTATTTTTTTGTTATTTTTTTTTGTTTTGTTTTTTATTGAAGAAAATAAGAGTTTCGATGCTTCATTTTTATTTTTTTAGAATATTGTGAATCGTCTGCATCGCCAACTTTGGACGAGTCGGGTTATCTTACTGTGCTTGGCGCTGAACTTCACCCTGATATTCGTATTTTATGGACTGGTATGCATATTTTATTTTTTTAAATTTTGTCCTAAATTTTGTTTTAAATTTTCAATAAAAATATTAATCATATTTCTAGGCCCTCGAGTTGTTTCCCGCCTTCTCACTGCCGAACACCTTCAAAGGGTATCAGCTGTATTGAAACGAAAACCAACAATCTGGGATAATCTGCATGCTAATGATTATGATCCTAAACGAGTTTTTATGGGTCCATTCCTTGGTCGTTCAGTTGCGATACGTGCAGAGACTGCTGGACTTTTATTGAATCCGAATTGTAAATATGAAGCTAATTATATTCCAGTGAGTGTTTCGTTATTTTTTCCAAAAAATTTGTTAATTTTTGAGGATTTATTCCTTTTTAACCAAGAAGAATTTTTAAATTTCTTTTAATCCCTGATACTGAGATCCATTTTTGGGACAAAAAATTTTTAAAATTTTTGTTATATTTTTTCAGCTTTTCACACTTTCTGATTGGATTCAAAGTGATTCAGATGCACCACATGTCGAGAAAGGTTTAATTCATAATTTTTTATTTATTGTTAGTTCATTTCTTCTTTCTAACTACTATAATAAGATTTTATGATTCACTTGTTTTAAATTATATTCCTCTTTTTCTTATTGAGATCAGGACGCAGTTCTTGAAACAGCGCCAACTGTAGAAGATGCAGTTGTTCGTGTTGTTGAAGAAAGTACACAAAGAACAAAGAAGCGTCTTTATCATCCACTCAACTCTCTTCGTGCTGCAATTCACAGTTGGCTACCTCATTTTGGTAGTGGACCTGGTCCGGCTATTCCTCCATTTTCTCAAAGAGAATCAATCCAAGCAATTGCTCCAGTTATTGCTCCAAATAAAGTGCACTCTTCAGAAGAGGTTCCACCACCGACTATAAGAACTTGTGAAGGTTTGGATTTTTAAAAAATATTTTGAAGTTTTGTGATGTTAAAGGGAATGAAATGCTCAATGGAGATTTTCCTCCGCCAATTTATACTTCTCCAATAGGTCAAGCAACAACTGTTACCATTCAAGCATTTCCTCTATCCGAAGCAATTATGGGTGTTGTAGCAGCACACGAAGACCCAAAAATTATAAGTAAAGAAGCCCTGACTGTTAATTCACTCACAATGGATTATAATGAGCCAATGGATGCTATTGGAGAAGCAACATCAATTGAAGCTTCTGTGGAGCCTGGAAAAGTAATTTTATGTAAAATTTTAACTAATTTTGAGTTCAAATTTTTTAAAAGGAGGAAGATTCGATAACAGCTCGAATGGATTTAGACACTCTCGAAACAGAAGAAAAGAAAAAACAAACAAAGAAAGCACTTGGGTAATTTATAATTTGTTTATATAGAAGATTTTAATATTTTTAGTGAAATTGATTTGGATAGCATTGCACTATTCGTTGATATGTAAGCGAATTTTTAAATATATTTTCCGATTTTTTGAGTTAAAGTTTTTGTATTTTTAAGCAATCTATTTAATTTTTCGCTGATTTATTAGTAAATTTTCAATATTTTTTACAGTTTCTATTTACCATTTGAAAATGGACGAAGAGCTCAAAACATCCTCAGCGAATTTAAATGGTTATATGAAAATGCTATGATTTTGCGGACAGACTCGGGCCAGCAAAATACTAGGCAACAAGCAGAATCAGAAGAATGGCATCGACGAAATGCAGATTTTCAATCAACTGTTGAACAAATTAATGACCTCTATAGATGTATAATCAAATCGCCAAATAAGGTTTTTAAATGATAGATTTTTGTGTATTTTTAAATTTTGTTCAGAGTCTTTTGCAAGAAATATTCCCCTATTTATGGGAAGCGCAAGGCCTTTTCTCTATTCTTTGTGCATTGCTTGAATGGATGCTTAATGGAAATTTGATTCTATCACCTAGTGGTATTACA